TGTTTCATTCATCATTAATATAGTATCAACTGTTTTAAGTTTTTTGTTATATTATAAGTTAAAGTTGATAAAAATCAAAATTTTTAAAAAATATTTATATAAATCTTAAATAAAAATTTATATTATAAATAAGAATTTATAAAAAGAAAAATATTTATAAATTTGTAATTTATAATTAAAGATTCATAAAAATAAAAATATTATTTCTAAAAATTGTTGTCCACTAGTCATCTATTTAATAAATTAAATTTAAGTGATTAATAAAGTAAATAAAAAAAGATGTTTAAATTAAAATAGAAGATTTTTATTGAAATTTTATTTTTAAAAATATTGTAAATAAAATAATTATTATTTTCTTGATAAAGAAAAATAATAAATATTTTTTTAGTTATTTGACTTATTAATTTAATCTTTATATTGAATACATTATATTTTTATTTTAAAATTTTTCCCATTTTTGAATGAAAGAATATAAAAGAAAGATTAATTGAACATTTAATTTAATTTCAATTATCAATAGCTTAAACTTATAAATAAAAAAAAATTCTTCGCATTAGAGATTAATAAAATTTTTCTATTAGATGACAATTGATCCAAATTAGCTACTGCGATAACATCATATAAATAACATTTAATAATAATTGTAATCATATTGAAAAAAATCAATGTATATAAAATATAAACACTTCAGTATATGCAAAACAATAAAAATTTATTTTTAAAATTATTATTGAATTTTTTTTAACTTTTTTATTAAATGCACTTAATCTTTAATAATTAATCCTATTTCTTTTAAAATTTTTAATAAGGATATTATATTGATATTATTAACAATCGTTAAATGATCTAAAAACTTATATATATTATATTATACAATATTAATGTGTTAATATTATGTTAATATCAAATATCTTTCAACTTTGGAATTATTATACAAATTGTTTATATTATACAAAATTGTTATATTCATTAAAAAAAAATTTAATATCTGCTGATGATGATATCTGAAAATGATCAATATTTGGTATGATCTTCTTTATATAATAATATAACTTTTCAATTTAATTTTTTTTTTTTAAATATCAATTATCTGAACTAATTAGGAGATAAATCTATTTGCATAAATAATTGTTTGAATAATCAGGAAGAACTAAATTTGTAAATTCGTTATAAAATAATTATAAATTAGATAATTTTCAAATATGGTTTATATAAAAAGTATATATATATATTTCTAATAGAAAAATATAAAATTATAAAAAATTAATTTTTTAGATTTGAATACTGCTTTTAGATATTCATCCATTTGATTGGATACTTTTAAATTTTTAATTTCAATTATATATCTTAGAATATTATTAATTTAAATATGCAAGTTATTTATTATATACGTTACATTTATACATAAGTAATTTAAATTACTTAAAAATAGTTAAATATATATATAATTATGTAATTCACTCTGTTCCTATTATTGTTCATTTAAATGACTAAAATTCGAATAATTAATTATTATAAAGTGCACATTTATTTTTATTAATAAAAATTTGATATTCGAAATATAATTTGAAATATAAAATACGATCATAAATATTTTAAATACTTTTTGAAATGTTTATTTAAATAATGTTATCTAAATTTTTCTTCCAATCATGATAATACAAAAAATATGTTTTATATGCAGTTTAAATAATATCAAAGCATTAATTTATTGCAAAAAATATTTTAATTTCCTAAAGTTATTTTTAATTTTTTTCAAATATTAATGTTTTTTTATATATTTATATATAATTTATATTTATATTTTTTATACATAAATGAATATTATTTATTATATCATTATCATATTATATACTTTTTTATGATGTTAAAATATAATATTTTAAATATAATGGTATGAAATGATTTTGAAATGACATTTAACTTTAAAAATTATTATGAAATTTATGTCTATCGAAATTGTTGGTTTTATCAATGATACAAGAAACGAAAAATTAATTCTAAAAATCAAAATAAATACAGATGTCAATTGAGATTTATTTCTTAAATATCTATTAGGTAAGTAATCTTTTAGATAATTAAATTTGCGTTGAATGTGATTATATCTTTGTTACATTATTATCCCATTCTGTTTCCATTTTGTTTTATCTAATGTAATATATTAACATTTTTATTATTTAATTATATAAATAAAGTATTTTAAAAATTGAAACAAAATTTGATGCAGCAATAATATATTTCATTTTTCATTTTTTACAATGTTTAAAATTATTATTTTATTAAAATTCTATTCTCTAAATCCATCAACTTTATTATCTTTCCTACGATTATTAAGCCATATGATAGTCAAAAAAAAACCATCTGTTTATCAATTCTTAAACAGATTTCGGTGAAATACTGTTTTTTTTCTGTACCTTTTTTTTTATTTCATAAAAGATAAATAAACTAATATTCAAAAAAATATGACAAAGATAATTAAAGCAAATGATTCAAATATAATTTAAACAAAACGATTATTAAGCTCTTTTAAATAATTAAATAATTAATATTCTATTGAATTTTTCGAATTCAATACTTAGAAAAAAATAAAATTGCAATTTTATTAGTACGTTTTGGTGATAAGAATTTTTTTATTGCTTTTCTACATTTTATATATATTCTGTGTATATAATATATAAAATATTCGTATTTTATAAATATATATATATATATTTTAGTAAATATATTTTATATTTAATCATTTGATTAAAATATATTTTAAATCATTTAAATTATTTGATTATATTAAATATATCAAGAATGCTTAATAAGCAAAAGTTTGGTTTGTAATTGTATTATTCACAATCGATTTTTACAAAATTCTTAATATTTTTTAATGATAGTGACGTATTTTTTATAAAATGTTGATAAATAAATGTTAATAAATAAATTGATGATAAATAAATTTTTCATTGTTATAAATGTTAATTACTTTTAATTACAACTCAGAAAACTATTTGCATATTTTATTTATTTATATCATTGTTTTTTTATAAATTTTTTCGATTAATATATTATGTATTTATATTTGCAATCATTTACATTTGTCATTTGAAATAATAACATTGAAATATAATAATAACACAAAAAGATTAGTTTTTATTTATAAGATCTAGTTTTTATTTATGTATTAAATTAATTTTATATGTAAATCTTTGTACTCGTCACAAAATATTTGTATTTTATAACAATATTAAGAAAACTATCAATCTTAAGAAAAACATACGTTGTTAAGAATGTTAATATTTAAATTAACAAATTTCTTTTCCTTTCAATTATAGCCTTTTTTAAATATTATGTAAGTTATTATATAAAGAATAAATATATAGTTTGATACGTATACTCAATATTCATTTTTTGTTCTATGTAAAAGAACGTTTTATTAAGTACTACTAGAAAATTATAGTTCTGTTGTAATACTTTCTTTTGCACCTGTCTAATACCATATGTCATACCACTATATAATACAACCTCTAATTATTACTGTCCGTAAGTTAACTAGCACTAGAAAAAAATATGCTATAAGAAATCATTACCCAACGTTGTTATGATGCATAGTATGATTTATTAAATAAATTATTAAATTATTTGAAAAATTCTTTTTTAAATAATACTTTGTACATATTGAATTTATGCACCAGTTAAGTTTTATTTCATTTGATTTCTAAGATAAATTATTTCTTGAAACTATGTTGAAACAAGTGACTCCAGAGAAAGGCATTTATATTATATGGCTTAGTGTAGCTTTATCTCTTTGTTGGCCACTTCCTATTAATAGTACCAGAAAGCAAGTTGTGTGTATAAAAATTTTACAAATCGGTACCATTATTAGCGCTTTCATGATACTTCTACCTCTAATTTATACGATTTATTTGAATTTAGACAATCTTAACATATTTTTTAAATGTATTTGTCTATCAATGGGTGTATTTCAACATATTGTACAAACTACTACATGCTTTATAAAATATAATACTTTACAAGTAAGTTAATTATTTATTTTATTTCAATATTTGATGTAAAAAGATATATATTTTAATTATGAGTTACAGCGAATAGTCGAAGAAATGATGACATGTATTAAAGAAATGCAATTGTATGAAATTATGTGTGCATATGTCGCGAAATATAATATTTTCTACGGAGGAACTATTGTATTAATATATACAACTGCAACTGTTTTTATATTAGGACCAACGTTCTTACCAATTACTTTTCCATGGGAAACAGAATATCCATTTCAAGTTAATTATACATCTAGAAATCTTATTATATATATGCATCAATTTTTCTTCACTTATCAATGCGCTGCACATATATGTGTAAGTATATTTGTGGCGCTTTTACTTTGGTTCACGTCCGCAAGATTTGAATGTTTAATTAAGGAATTACAAAAAACTACAAATATTGAAATGTTAATTGTTTGCCTTAAAAAACAATTACTTTTGAGGAGGTAAATTTTTTTAATACATATAACATTTTTTAAATATATGAATTATTAATTATTGTAAATTAATTTTTATTTATTATAAATTATTATAAATTCCTTTGTTTAGATATGCAGAAGATGTAGTGAATTGTATTCGTTTTATAATATTTTATACTATGGCAGTAAGCACAATTGTACTGACTTTATCTGGTATTATATTGATTACAGTAAGTGAAAATAATGTAATGCATAGTACATGATAAATTAATTCTGTTTTATATAATTTATATAGACTTCATCATTACTTGTGAAAATACAATTTTTAACTATATGCGTATCTATACTTCTGGAAATTTATATGTATGCATGGCCAGCTGATCATATGTATGATATGGTAAGTTATATTTATATTCTCAATATTATAATTATATAAATTAAAAAATTATTTATCGATCTTTGAATTATTATAATTTGGTTAAAATTATAATTGGTCAAAAATTATATAATAAATGACATTTAAGTCATTTCAAAACGTTAAATCTCTATTTTTGCATGCTTAAATTGATTTTTTCTTAAGAATATTTTGTTAAAAAAACAAACAAGGAATTTATTATTAACAAAATAAAAATGATTTTTTTTTAAAAATTATATAATTTTTTAAAAATTATATCAATCATTGATAATTGACTTTAATGTTTAATTCTTTATCCTAATTCAAGTTATCATAAATTTGAGGATCATATTTTTAAAATATTTTTAAAATGAGAATTTTGTTTATTTAGATTTTTATTTTATGTTTTGTGCGTATGTATATTTATTAAAGAATTAATATTTTACATTATTAATATATTAATATTTCATGCTAATATATTTTAGCTCAATTTTTTTATTTTAGTTAAATTAATAACTAAATACTTTAGTTAGATTTCTTGGCATTAAATATTATTAATATTAAAATTATGCATTAAATATTAATAATAAAAAATAAATATTTTATGTGTATTAAATATAAAAATGTGAAATATAAAAAATGTTTGGTGAATTTAGAAACATTTTAAAGAAAATATTTGATTTCGTTGATAGAATTCAGTGATTTAAATGTTATTTGTATGCAAATGTGGAAATTTTTGAAAATTTTTGCAAATTAATAATTATGCCATGTTAAATTTATTTCTAATCTGCTTTAATAATAGAAGTAGTGCTAGCCAAATTCAAATTATCTTTCAATCAATATGTTTTATATATATTGCATTAATTAATATACACAGTGTTTGTTTTATATAAATAGGAAGAAATATTTTTTTAAGAAAAGAATATTATGAAAAAAATGTTGTAAATATTCTTGATATAAGAAAATATATATATATTATAGAATTTAATATATAATATTTAAATATAAATATTATTATGTAATATTAAATAATTATAAAATAGATAAATAATTATAGAATTTCATTTATTCCAGAGTATTTTAACGATTAAAAAAAAATACAAAAATTAATATAAAAATATAAAAAATGAAGTTTATTTATTAATTTATATTTTTTTAAATTTACATTACAAAGTGAAACATATATAGAATGAGATCCTTTTATTTTGTTCATATTATAATCTCGCTTTATTTCCATCAAAGATTTGTTTTAAGAAAATTAAATTTGTATTTTTAAAATCATAATATATATTATAAATAGATCGATAAAAAATGAAATTATTATAATGTATATAAATTAATAAAATGACAGCATTAGCTGTTAAAGTAAAATAATATTTGACAAAGAATTTTATTCATGGAATTAATAATATAAATAGATTTAGAAAAGTGTATTATTTATAATTATAATATTAATATTGCAATTCCTTACTTCTCTAATTTCTTGTATTTATATTTTTGTTTTATTATTGCTTTAAAAGATTTATTGAAATGTTATAATTAATAAATATTGTTACATAATACATATTATTAACATAATACATATGTTATATTATAATATATTATAATTAATATTAAAATTATCTCTCCAAATTTTTATTATATTAATAATTGTCGTCTTTCTTAAATTTTTTCTTTCAATTTTACAGTTTTCTTTGAAATGAACATAATTAATAAGCATAAAAAATATAAGTTCAAATAAATAAAACTTCATTGTCTATCTAAAAAAAAAAATACGATGAAATTTACCTAAATATCTTACTATAATTATTAATGATAATATGATAATGTTAATATAAAACTAATTTAATGATAGCATTGACATGTAAATTTGATTTCTATCATTCATATTCTATTACAAGCCAAAGATCATCATGATTCGTTTAACTAGAAAATATCCATCAATTTTATAAAAAGTTCTTGTTTAAATATATAATTAAGATATAAATAATTAATAAATAAGATATTAAATATAAATATTAAATATAAATAAAATAAATATCTTATCAAATAAGTGCTCATATGTATACAATACTATCAAAAAAGTACGGAAAATATGCAGAATAACAGAGTCATTTTCAATTTCATAATTTTCGAAATATTTGCAAAAATATGTTTTTTATTATGTATATTTAATAAATTAAACATTTTTCTATTTGTCTTCTTACACTTTTACACATGTATTAGCTTCAATCTATTCGTGGAAGCATAAATAGGCAAAATTTAATAATTGAAATTAATTCGCTGAATTACTTCAATAATTTATTATTTAAAATATAATAATGATTGAAAAATTTTAAAAATTTTAAAAATTAAAAAAAGATATAATATATTACTTACAAAATTCGCAGAATTCTCAGAAAAATTAATCCGCGAAAGTAAATTTTTTTCGAGTATAGAATGATACTGATTGCCATTGAGCTTAATATGGCTGGAAAATATTAAATATCAAGATTATTTTCACATTTCAATCATGTCAAAGAATTTCTAAAAAATATACAATTCCAAGAATCTTCTAAATAAACTTCTCTCAAAAATTATTATATTATTCTTATGCAATACCACTCTATATTCTTATTACTATAAATTTATTACACATATATTAACTTCAACCTATTCGTGGAAAAATAAATAGGCAAAATTTAATAATTGAAATTAGTTAATTCACTTAGTTACTTCAATAATTTATTATTTAAAGTATAACAATGATTGGAAAATTTAAAAAATTTAAAAAATTAAAAAGCGATATATAATCATTCTAAATGTTTTAATTGTACATGTTCAAAATATATAAATTTTGTATATATTGTAAAAAATTATGTATAATTATAAATTTTTTTCAAATTATTTTATTCGTTTATCTTTTCATACATGGGATATATAATAATTGTCATTATTTTGCAGAAAATATTCAATCGTTCAGAAAATTCAAATGTTTTTTTACTTATATTATATTAAATACAAAATATCGAAAATTTATATTATATATTTTAAACTAATTTTTTTTGCAAATATTTCAAAAATTAAATATAATATTATTATTACTTTTATTATTACTACTATTATTATTATTATTACTATTACTATTACTTATTATTATTATTACTATTAATTATTATTATTATTATTATTATTACTACTACTACTACTACTACTACCACTACCACTACCACTACCACTACCACTACCATCACCATCATCACTACTACTACTACTACTACTACTACTATTACTACTACTATTATTATTACTATTATTATTATTATTCTTAAAAACTATTTCATTAATTCTCGTTAAGTATTAGATTTAATACATATTTATTTTTACAATTTGATATTTTATCGATTTATAATATAAAAAAATAGCTTGCTCGAAAATAGGATTAATAATAATCCAATAGGAAAAATTGAATTTAAAAAATCAAAATGATTGTAAAATCTCTGAAACATCACATTCACAAAAAAAGTACTTTATAGATGTATCTTTCAAAGCTGTTTAAATTCCATATTTTATAATTTTCATAAATTGTATCGTTTTCATTCATTCTAATAGTTGATGTTTGAGATGATCAAGATAGCTGGGACATATAAATATGGCACATAGAATAAAAAATATTTTTATGTATATTTTATTAATCAAGAACGAATTATATATATAATATATAATAATTATATATATGAATGTTTGATGTAACTATGCGGAGCATAGTATATATATTTTTAATTTTTTAAAATTATTAAAAATAAAAAACAAATATCAGAGGATAAAAATAAATAATATTATATATTTTTTTTTCTTTTTACGCTTATGCATTTCTGTTGATGTTTTTATGATATTTTATGATAATAAAATATCATAATATTGATATTAATTTTACTTGTTTCTGTATGTACAATTTTTTAAGTTTTCAATCTTTTAAATTGGATACAAATACATTTTATTTATTTTTTAAAAAATTTCAAAAGAAAAAATCCGAAATCAAGAATGATAATCATACTGACTAATGTACTTATTCTGAAATCCTAATATAATAATTCATACATTTTTCATTTAAATAATTTTTGGATTTTTTATAATTTAAAAAAGAATGCTTATAAAAGAAAAATTCAAAAATTTTTTAAATTTTAAAAATTTTTCTAAAAATTAATTCTATCAATGTTTAATTATTTTATTTAAAAAAGTAAGAAAAAATTTAATAATAATAAATTTTAATATTTGAAAAGACAAGAATCTTTGTTCAATTCTATACCTTCTATATGTTTATAAATATATATTAAGCATAATATATGTACATATACTTAAAATAAACATCATTATATTATTTTGAATTACTTATAATTTAATATTGATAAAACACTTTTTATTTAAGATGCAATAAAAAGATCATATATGAAATCATTATCTATAAGGAATAATTTTTAATTTTCAAATTCATTATAATTTAAATATTTTTAAATTCATTATAACTTAAAAAATAATTCGTTAATTGATTTGATTTTAAAAAATATTATATAAAAAAATCTATTTTAACTAATATAATATTAACTTATAAAATACATGAAACAAATGAAATATATATATATAATAATAGTGAAAGTCTTCAATATTATATGATTTCTTTTTATAAATAGTATCATAGTACCAATTTCAAAAAATTTTATCACCGATTGTATGTAATTTATAAGATTTATTTTTTTTAAAGACAATCAATTTTTTATAATTCGTAGAGCATAACCGTTTTACGAAGTGTTTACGATTCAATGTGGTATGATCAGACTTTAAATATGCAAAAACTCGTGCTGACTACATTGATGTATCAAAAACCAATAACT